CTTCTCAATGCCTGAGTTGCTCGTGTTGACTCTCTCCCATTCCACGTCCCCACTGCACTGTTTGTGCACCCTGACAGTGTAAATGTTTTCCTCTCTGTATTCCTCTGTCAGCCTCCCTCCCTGGCTAGGACTCTTGTCAAGGGAACACAGCTTTACTCTTCCTCATATTGCTTTTAAAAATGTTTTTATTACTATTTTATTCTAGCTTTATGGGTGTTCCCCCTGCATGTGTGCCTGGGCACCACATACATGCAGTGTCCATGGAAAACAGAAGAGGACATCGGAGCCCTCGGAACTGGAGTTACAGGTGGTTGTGAGCCCCAATCTGGATATTGGGAATCGACCCAGGGTCCTCTGGAAGAGCAGTTGGTGACTTTAACCTGAGTTATCTCCCAAACCTCTCCCACCCCCACTCTGTTTCTTTTTGTTGCCATGTGATCACTCTGTAGATGTGGTGGAGTGATAGAGTAAAGGAAACATGATGAATCTACAGCCCTGCTGTTTTCCTGCATCCAAGGACTCCTGCACATTTCCCACTGTAGACACCCAACCGTTTCTTCTGTATCTCCTCTTCGGATGTCATAGGCCATATCTTATTACCGCATCATATGTCATGATTTTTAAGATGTGATCCCCTGTACCTCTTACCTGGAAACGATAATTCCCCATTTCTGAGAAAGCAGACATATGACCTCATCTGTCCTCACCCTAAAACACAAAACAGCTGCTCTTAATCTTGCACACAGGTTCTCAACCAACTTGCTCCATCATGTAGAATTTAGGAGCTCATGACTTGGAAGCTTATCCTGCATTGATGAATCCTGGATCCCTGTAAAAATCTTAAAAAAGGCTTTGATATGGAACAAGGGGAAGAAAGGCTAGAAAGAGTAAGGTGAAATTCCCTAAGGGTAGAGGGGGAGAAGGTTTTGCATATGAATGCGTGAATTCCAGCCATCTCAGTTCTGTTTATAGGGAGCTTTTTAAAACATTTCCTGTCCTGAGCTTTATGCAAATCAATTGTGCTTCACTTTCCCTCAGCATTTTCATGATTATTCAATGTGAGTAAAACAGTAGAATTAATTACCTAACAACACCATTTTAGAACACCATAAAGATACATTGTTCTGGAAAGGGTATTGTGAAACTAACCCCTTCTTCCTCCTCATCCTTCATCGTTTTAGTGATTGTCATCCTCATCCCCATCACCACCACCATCTTCATCTTTAGTCTGTAGCACCAGCATCACCAACATCATTATCATCATTGTCATCAGCATCCTTCCTGTCAATGAAGCATTTTATTCCTTTCAAATGCCTCCCTATCTATTAAGTCATTTTCATCTCCATGGAAACCTTGGGTAGTACCCAGGTAAGGATTAAATATACTTCTGTTATGGATATAAAAATTGAAGATAAGTCAGATTGGTAGTTCCTTTTGTAGAATTCACAGATATAGGCAGGGATAAAAGCCAGCTAGCTACCCGTTCTGATAGCATCGAGGCAGTGGAGAAGCTTGCCTTGGGAAATAACAGGGTGGAGTAATGGGAGAGGTCCAGGAAGTCAAGACTCCGAGGGAACAGGAGTTGGAAACTCAGAAAAGGAAGGCTCAGATAGGGATTCCTAATATTATAGGAATGAGCAGCCACATTCATCTGCAGAAGTGAGTTGAAGATACTCCTTAAGCTTGCAGAGGACCCAATAAACACCTATACCTCCATTGACATGATGGTGTCAATTCACAAGCTAAAGATATATGTGTCCACTAAGTAATTTGTGTGTGTGTGTGTGTGTGTGTGTGTGTGTGTGTGTGTGTGTGTGTGTGTGTTGAGCTCTGAGCTGGCAAACTTAAGTTGCAGTGTCAAGACTTTTTGTATCTTTCAGGTGTACCAAGATACTTTCTATCTGAAATGAACACAGTAGCATACACTACAGTATTCAAAAGGATGAATTCTTTTCTCATTTAGAACTACATGCAGTAGCCATGAATCATCCATTCCAGGGAAGGGAGGGGAGCAGAGCATTAAATATAATTTATGCCTTGCTAATTGAAATCAAATACCAAATTCAGTCTCCCTGGGAGTTGCCATGCTCACATTTAAATGGGGCAGAAGTATTATTAACCTGACTCTATGTTGGCAATTTGGCTTAGCTTTTCTGGATAGATAATGATTCCTTCATCAAGCCGTCACACTAAGGGACAAGACTCAGCCATTCACTCTGAGTCAGAAAGTCAAAGGAATAGTAGTAGCCAGTGAAGAAACCAGACCTTGTTTAAGGTCTAGTTTGCATTTTTTTTCCAGGATCAGCACTCTTCAAATATGTTGCCAAATGGAAGTTTTGTTTTGTTTTGTAAAACCTCTTGCTCTTGAGGCTTAGTCTTCTGCCCCCCCCCCTTTTTTATACAGAATGGTATATAAATGACTTATGAGGGAGGGGTTTCCAGACTTTTATTTCACAAAGGAAAATGGTTTATTTACCTCTTGCTAACCATATTAAAATGAGTTTGTCATCTTTATATGGCATATTTATGTAAGGACACAAACTTAGAAGCTCTGTTGTTTGGGAGCATCACTTTAAGTGTGAATTTTATGAGCTTAGGAGGACAGGCAGACTGAGGAGACTAAAGAGCTTAATCGGGATGTGTCCATCCAGAATGAGACAGGAGCACAGGATGAAAATGGCCATCTTTAGCCTGTAGAAGAATGTCTTCAGAGGTATTCTAGAACAAGACACATTGTCCTTTGGCAGAGTTATGATGTCACCATAACCTAGCTGCCACTGAAATCTCAAACAAAAAACATTTCTGCAAGGATGATGTATCCTTCCTTGAAGGGCTCAAAACCCCTGGGAACACTTTCCTTGGAAGTCAGTCTCTCAAAATCATGAATGGGGGTGACAACAAAAAGAAACATAACACTTCCCTCCAGTTCCAAATCCCAGTTTTCTTAAGAAGATCTCTGAAAGGACCAATGCAACCAGATCCAGTCTAGAGCTCAGGAAGCAATGTCCATCTG